GGACTCTCACACGTTCAATATTACAGACACTTGCTATTTGCGGATTTTTATAGAACGGATTGCTTATGTAAATTGTCGCCGCCTGCACAATCATTAATATACAGTTTTTCTATATAATTAAACGAGCACACACGAATGAAAAACTTACACGCGTACTGAACGTTTTATGTTTCAAAGATTATACATCATAATGATGATATAATAATCATCAAGGTTTACCGAAGCGTTTACTAGCAAGGTGCGGACGGAATTGTTTCTTTTTGTAGTGAAAACCGACGCTCCGACATTGTATATTTAAGTTGAATTTAAATTGTAAAAATTCAGCCTGCTAACAAGAAACCTACTGCTCGAGGGGAAAACAACGCAACCATGCCACAAAGATGAATAAACATAGTGGAACGTTATGAAATCGTTGTCTTTAACTCAGATCAGAATGTTGCTGTATATTTACACTTAAAGAAAGTATTCTTGCAAAATAAAGCAATATTCGTATCTTGCATAGAAATTTTCAGTAGGCAACCAAATGTTATTTTCTTTTGTGATTTAAACATTTAAATTTGCGATTTTTTTGAAATTTATCCTATCTATCGATTTATCTATAGATCTTCGTGCGTACAACATAAATTTTCAATCTATGTTTCTACGGCAAGATTTACGGCTTACAAGATTTAAAAAAATTTGCAATATTTCTACTAACAACAAATTTGTTCAATTTATATGTTCGAATTTATTTCCCTATTATTTTATAATTTTCCTTGCTTACTGATAATTGATCTTAAAAAATTTAATGCTGTCGTTGTGATGTAAATGTTGCAATACTTAAATTAAAAAAATACTTTGAGAATTTAAGAGAAATCTTTGCTTTTCTGGCTCGAATTTTACATTTCACGAACAGTTAGAAATTGGGAATTTTTTTTTAGCAATACGTAATTCTTTTAACACTGCCTGCGGAGCCTAATATTTAAGTTCATACTTTCTCTTACATAATGCCTCTGTTTATTTTAAGATTAACGTAAGTTTCCAGTTTTTCAATAACGTTATAAAGCAGTTATGTCAGTCTCGTGTCAAAACATAGCTAATTATAGAGGCCCGTCTTTAGAAAAGGGGAACAATCTATCTTTGGTTTTCTATATTTGTATGAAAGATGCAATTTGCCTTAGGTTCTTCTACGGATTTAGCCACTCCGCCGTTTGGATCAAATAAACAACTGTAACATGATTAAATTGATGTTAAAGTCGAAACTTTCGAGTTAGAATACAATTTCAGATTATTTTCCATACCACTATTAAATTACTCTTTCTTAAAATGAGATACTCTTACTCAATACTGGCGTAATATGTTTCTTGTTAATGCGAACATAGTTTTATAAAAAATAAACAAAAATAGATATGTAATTTTCGAAAAATAAAAATTACTTTGAAAGATGTTAAGCTGATGTTAGGATATTAAACTTGATGTAAACGAAATATAAAAGCAATTTTTATAATATTCTGTAGTAGCTACAACGCATTCGTTACCTGAAATATAAAATACAAAATTAATGTTAATATAAGTAATTGTTTATAGAATAAATGTTAAGATGCGTGGAATTTTAGAAAACTATAAATTTCCCAGCAAAAGTAATCATGTAACTTGTAACTTAAAATTCAGTTGAATATCAGTTAAACGTATTGATATAAATAACTGATATTGAAGAAACATGAAAATATTTGCAAAAATAATTATGTGACAATTATCAAAACTTTCTATATGTATTCTTTTTTTTAACATTAGAATTATTGAAATGTTTAAAATGATCAATTATTAATAATGATAATAACTTTTTTCAAATTTTTGTGGATTTGCAAGTCTACTCTTCTTTTTCTTTTTTTTTAATATATATCATTTAATTTTTTTATTTTCTTTTCATTTTTTTAAATGCGAATTGTATACTAGTGTCATCGATAGTTCTAGTTTTAATCCAAAATACACGAATAAATTATTGATGTACAAATATATACGACAGCGAAAGCACAGTTGTCACTCATAAATTGCGCGCTCTCGGTTCGCGTGTTCGCTAGTCATCGGTGTACGTTTCATTTCAGCAATCCGCGCAAATACGTAACCATAAAACACATTTCCCTTGGTTCTTACGTATCACATTTGAAAATCGACATTACATTTGCTATTTATGCCATTTGTATACCTTTTTGTGTAATGTCTAATCTCTCGTCAATTTTGAACGCACTTGAACACCACGTTCGCTATTGGACGATTCAACGATCGTGATGATCGATCGTCGATAATCGACGGACTCAGCATACTGCTTTCGGAATTATTATTTTTGCAATTATTTTGATCAACGAAAAATAAGATCGTTAGACGCGTCAGATACGAACCTTCTTCATGATTCCAGTTTTCCTCTTAGAGAAAGTAGTATACCTCCGCAGTTTATTGTCGATGTACTCCATTTTAATCTTGACTCGTCCCTTCGTCTTCTTACCGTTCGAGGGGGGTGACTTTTTCGGCTGGCCCAAACTCGTGAACGACTCCTCGAGATTATCTGGGACACAGTCCGTGGACATTGACATGGCTTGCTGTTGCGAAAGTGCTTGCCGTGCATTACTGTCATCGTAACAGACGTCCGAAGTGGTCCTCTTGATACCTCTCTGTACAGATCCCACGCCGGCGTTTGGTGCGCCTGCAGCGGCGGCCGCGGCCATCATGGTGGCGCCACCGCGGCTTATTTGAGAAGTTGTAAGTTGGGAGGTGGACGGTCGGCCGTACATTTCCGAGCCAGCGTCGCTGCCTATCATCCCCATGCTGTAGCCAAGACTTGCGTACCGACTATCTCTTCCGCCGCTAGGGTTGTCCATTACGGACTCGCGCACATTTATTCCCTTTCCCTCGGCCCTTCTTCGCCACGAAATCGCGAAAACTCGGCGTAATGTTTCCCACGTGATCAACCATCTAGAGGAACACGGGACAACAACGCGCACTGCACGAGCGCTCCCCGCGAACTGAATGCGCACAGAGTATCGTAACTTGACCTACGTGCTAACGCGGTGCCTTCGTACGTTCGTGCGCAGCTGCTACCCCCACCGCGCTCCGCGTACGCGGTAAAAAACTAGTCCACTCGATCGAAATGGAGACACTTGGACGAAGATCCGTGAAAATTTTTTTGTAGAAAAATTAAGAAATCGACGGTGGTCTTCGGTGTGTCATTAAATTGCTTTCGCACGGGTTCAATAGTTCAAAATTTGCAGCTAAAAGATCGCGCGGAGTAATACAAGAATCGGCGAGAGGGCGTCCCCGGCTGCCATATTTAGAAGTAGACGTTACCATATTAGGGAAAGTTTGCCAAATATGGTGAACAGAGGTGGTCCTTCCTTTTCAAATGATCACTCGGCGCGCCGCGACAAAACACCAATCCAACTGACAGTAGCGCTTCCTGCACGCCTCTCCTCCCCTCCTCTTTTGCCGGTATGTCCTTCCTATTTCTATGTGCTTACTAAACATACTGATAAGCGACTCGCCTGATCCGCTATTTCTTACTTCTGTTCAGTTTTCATACATCTTTCTATCTCTTATTTACGTTCAGAATGTATTTCATTTTGGTCGAGAAATGAATAAAAATAATAAGCGGGGTTGCATACTCTTTTGTAATGTGTAAAGTACTTAACAAAATCTTATATTGATATGTCTTTACTTTAATAAGTATTGTATATTTAAATATTATGCTTTCTATTCTGATGAATTTTTCACATTTATGTGTTATGAATCACATTGTATTATTCGTGTCGTATAATGCACACATGTAGAAGATAATGGAAATTGTTTAAGATAAATTTCACAGAATGAAACCCAGTTATAAATAGGATTAAAATTTTATAATATTTGTAATCTTTTGTCTCATGCAAATTGCTTGAAATCACTTGTAATTATAAACGTGTTTAAATATATCATATTTAAATGATTTGTTTAATTTAATGATCATTGATTTTGTTGTTTTTGTATCTGTTGGAATTCATACAATTATTATATATGTATAAAAAAATATATAGGTGTTAATAAATAAAAATCTATGAATGTTTAGAAAAGGTATAAAAACAGTAATTTAAATTATTAGAATTTTATTAAAATAGTATAATTATATATTACTTCATTATATATAAAATAAAATACAAACAAAAGTTGATATAAATATATAAATTAACAACTATTATCATAATCTTTATTATAATTACAATGAATTATCTATTCACCTGATGCTATTGATTGTGCAGCAGAAACTAAAGTATCATGAACCTCACGAACATATGCAACTTGTGCTCTTACAGTCATCAAAAACTGAGGATATGTCAAAGCAGGTCCTTCTTGAGTTCCAACAGTATCTGTACGTGTTGGTATAACCGATACTGGTAGATACCTCACAGAACTAGAATTTTGTGATAAACACTCTATAGAAGTCTTTAAATGCAGTTCTATTTGATCACAAATGGAATAAAATTCTTCCATATTTTTGTTAAATCGATGATCAGGTTGATCCACTCCACCTTTCAGAGATCCAACATCTACTAGACTATTTTGATGTAATGTATGAGCTGCAGTTTTAAGTGCTATGGCTAATGAATCCCTTAATGGTCCAATTAATGATTTAACTTTGGAAATATTGTCAAGTTTTTCTTGAGTTTGTTGCTGCTGTTGTTGTTGTTGTTGCTGCTGAACTTGTGGTTGTTGCGTTTGTTGTGGATTTTGAGGAAGTTGAGGATTCACAGGCTGTGTTATTTGACCTACTCCGATTGTTCCTGGTTGTTGAATTGGTGGGATATTCATAGTGATCCTGGTAATAATTTAAAAAAGCCAATATATTACGTATTAAACTTCCATATAAATAGTATTCAAACTTTCTTAAGTTTTATTTGAAATTGTTTTACTGCAAGTAATATAAATATTGATTTAGTAACTCATGATATTCGTATTCTAACCTTATATGATATAATTATTTGATACAATTTTCACTATTTTTAATTTTAATGATTCCAAGGATACTTTTTATTGTAGTACTAAAGAAATATTTTTTTCATTTATTATTTGATTATGACAATGTTTAAAAAATAAACAACAATCCTTTGAGCATATTTTAAACTGTTTTGTTATAGACTGAAAGTTTTGAAATCAAAAGAGATGCTAGCTAATGTATACATGTGTGTTCAACAAGTCATTCTAAAATATCTTTAGATCATAAAATGCTTTTTTATTTTATATTTTTTTTATTTTAATTATTTATATTCTACAATGAATAATATCCATAATATTTTTAAAAAATGTTAGTTAATAATTGTAATAAGTTATGATATAAAACTAGTACATATATAATTTTTTTTAATGAATTTTGGAACTCGAATATGGAAGCGAATAGTTTCTATTGATATGGTTAGTTCCCGCTCTATATTATTCTAAATAATGTTATACCGGTCAATATGCACAATTTGAATTACAGTTCTGTTTGCTGTATACAATAAAAAATAATATTTTCAATTGTATTCATTGAATTTGATAATGTATATCAAGTCCATAATATTAGAAGGATTTAAGTCCTATGGAAAAAGAATTGAAATAAATGGATTTGACAAGGAATTTAACGCTATCACAGGATTTAATGGTAGCGGGAAATCAAACATTCTCGATGCAATATGCTTTGTTTTGGGAATTACGAACCTTGGACAGGTGATACATTATTTTTCCTATTTTTTCAATGATAAAATTTCCTAATTGTAACCTCAATCTATCCCTGTTTTTTTTAAATATAATTATACTTTTGTTGAAAAGAATTATAAGTTATATTGTAAATATACTTTTAATAATTTAACTTAAATATTACTTTTTGTATGGAAATAGTAAAAGAATAAAGTAATAAATATATTTTTTATTTTTTTATAACAGGTACGTGCAACATCATTACAAGATTTAGTTTATAAATCTGGTCAAGCAGGCATAAAAAAAGCTAGTGTTACTATAGTGTTTGACAATAGAGATAGAAATACCTCACCTATGGGATATGAACATCATGAAGAGATAACAGTTACAAGACAAGTTGTAATTGGTGGTAAAAATAAATACTTAATCAATGGTACTAATGTACAAAATAAACGTGTCCAAGATATGTTTTGTTCCGTTCAGTTGAATGTAAATAATCCACATTTTTTGATAATGCAAGGAAGAATTACTAAAGTTTTAAATATGAAACCTATGGAAATTTTATCTATGATAGAAGAAGCTGCAGGTACTCGAATGTATGAAAATAAAAAAGAAGCTTCGTTAAAAACTATAGAGAAAAAGGATAGTAAACTAAAAGAGATAAATGATGTATGGGTTAATCCTTATAATTGTCTTTATCTAATGTTACATAATTTAATGAAAGTACTTTATTTCAGATTTTGAGAGAAGAAGTAGGTCCAAGATTAAAAAAACTCAAAGAAGAAAAAACACAATATGTTGAATTTCAACGTACAGAAAGGGAATTAGAGCATTGTAAAAGAATTTGCTTGGCATGGAAATATGTCACAATCTTGAATGAATGTGAGACTGCAGAAAACAGTGTACAAACTGTTAAAAATAAAATAGAAGAAAAAATGAAAAGCATTAATGCTGGTGAAGAGGAATTTAGAAATATAGAGAAAGAATTAGATGAAATGATTAAAAAAAAGGATATAGTATGTAGTTTAATTAAAAATATGTATTTTTACATTTTCTACAATTTTTCTTATTTTTTCTTTTATTTATCTTATTTTTATAGGAAACGGGGGGTCAATTAGAATCTTTGGAAAACGAATTAAAAGGGGCAGAAAAGAAAGAATTTAAATTGGCAGCTGAAGTTAATAGTAGTAAAGAAGATATTAAAACTGCTCAAAAAGCAATAGAACAATTGAAAACTAATATAACTGATGATGAAAATGCTTTTACATCGAAACAAATAGAATATAGCAAAGTTGAAGAGTTTTTTAAAACATTAAAAGAGACGGATGAACAGGATTGCAAAGCAGTATTACTTGCACAAGAAAAGTATCAAAAGATTAGTGCTGGTTTATTAGAAAGTCAAGATGGTAAAAATGCAACACTAGAGCAACAATTAATAAGTGCTAAGCAAAATGTAACAGAAGCACAAACACAACATAAACAATGTGAAATGACATTAAATCATAATAGAAAACAACTGGAGAAAAAGAAAGTAGATTTGAAAAACACAGGAGATGAATACAAAAAATACACTAAAGATCTTGAAAATAAAGAAAAAGAAGTAAAAAATTTAGAAAATGAATTAAAGAAATTAAATTATGAAGATGGATGCATAGAACGACTGACAGAACAAAAACGTACATTAAAGAATGAAGTATTAGCATTGGAAGAAGAAGTAGATCATTTTGAATCAAGATATCCTCAAATTAGATTTGAATATCAAAAACCAGGACCTAATTTTGATCACAATTCTGTGAAAGGAGTTGTATGTAAATTAATCACGGTAAAAGATAAAAAAGCAGCATATGCTTTAGATATTGCTGCAGGAGGGAAGGTATTTAATGATTTTTGTATAAAATTTACTTTCTACGTAAGAGTATTTTATATGCTTATATTTTAAATTTAATTTCAGTTATATAATGTAATAGTAGATACAGAAACTACTAGTAAAAAATTACTTCAACATGGTCAGTTACAAAAACGTGTAACTATTATTCCTTTGAATAAAATAAACGGAAGAGTCATGGATAATCAATTAATTCACTTGGCACAGAAGATAGGTGGTGTAGAAAATGTTCAACCAGCATTGTCTCTTATAGATTTTTCAAAAGAAATTACATCTGCTATGGCATGGATTTTTGGACAAATCTTTATTTGTAAAGACATAGAAACTGCTAAAAAAATAGCATTTCATAATAATATAAGAAAAAAGTGTGTTACTTTAGAAGGAGATGTTGTTGATCCTGCGGGTACATTATCTGGTGGTGCAGTATCAAAAACTGGA